TATTTTGTTTTTGCTTTTTTTTTCGTTTCGTATGTTTCATTGCCTTGTGTATATTGTTTTTGTTTTTTGGTGTATTCAGTTTCGTATGTTTGGATGTCTGTTGGTTTCATTGCGTTGTGTATTTTGTTTTTGTTTCTTTGTGTATTTCGTTTCGTATGTTTGGATGGCTGTTGGTTTTACTTGTGTATTTTGTTTTTTTTTTTGTGTTTATTTCGTTTAGCGTTGTTGTTGTTCGTTTTGTTATTGCTATAATAATGATATAAACGGGAAAATGAAATAAATTAAAATTTTATAGAATTGATATTTTTTAAATACACTGTGGTGAAGGGTATATAAGATTCGGCACAGCCGAATATATTAACTCTTACTTGTTTTTTTATTAAGCTACGTGAAATAACCAATAAATATCTGGTTTATTATACATACTTTGTTTAATGAATTCAAATATAAAACAGCGAAATAAATTTTTCATATTAAAATTTTTTGGTTTATACAGTGGGACCTCGATTTTCCTTCATGGTCAGGTCCGGAACCATTCTGTATAATTGATTTTCCCGGTTAATTGAGTGCCAATTTTGACTAGTTTTTTAATAGATTTTTTTATTAATTAATAAATGAATATATCTCGTCAGTATATTATTGGTTTGACCCATACGCCAAACACTTGTTATTGAGAAAAACGAATAAGAAGGTTTAGATAAATTTTTCTCAAAATTTACGTTATAGATTTTTTTTAAATTTTCACACTTGATTTCGACATATGTTTTGAACAAAATTATAGATTTACACATCGTTATGTAAAATTGAAAAAAAGTTATTAAGATTTTAATGAAAACAAAAATTCGTGTTTTATGGTCTATATCAATTTTTTATTTTTGTTTTCCCTTTTTAGGGTCTATATCAGTGTTGCTCAAACACATACTACCATAGACTACCATAGTTTTATTTGTGTTGGTAAAGCAGCAGAGAACAGAATTCAATTCAAAATAAAAGTATACTAATAAAATGACTATAAACTATAAAGCATATGCTAACTGTCAAATATTTATTATGGATTTTGACAGCCAGCGTATATCAAAGTCTATATATAAAAAACTATCAACTGTTCTCTCATGTTCTCCTACATTAATTCGGCTTTCTCAAAATTTTGTTGTTGTATTTCTGTGTGTATTTTAAAAACGTCGCGTACAGACCTTACTTCGACAAGTGCTGATCAGCAACTGATTTGATTTAGTTTTTTAAGTTGAGAGCAAACCAACTGATATTGCTCATTATAAAAAGAAGAAGAATTAAACCTATAGTGTATGTGTATCAACTTAGCGTCAGCAGAATTTTCTTACCCTATCACGCGTGCTATGTAATGGCAATCTTGCGCTCCTCTGGTCTATATCCATACAAAATGAGTATTTTTTATGCCCACCATCGAAAAAGATCCGAACGAAACAGCTATAATACATTCGCAATCTGCCATGTTGGATAAACATTCTGATGGTGTTTTTATAGGTAGTAAATCTTCATCAAACATCCTAATGGCATGGAACTTTAACAAATTCTTGGAAAAAAAAAACGGAGCTGGTGATAAAAATTGCGTTTTTTACTTCGGCACTCAAATTATTTATGAATTGTTGTTGTTTATGTGCAAAATTTTCACTAAATTTGTAGGATGGTGTTACCAGACCAGCACATATTTTATATGTATACAAAGACTGTCAAATTATGTATGCTGAAAAATAACAATCAGTGTAATAGATCTGTCAAAATCCATATACAAATAATGTAAACAAGAGTTTTAAAAATACCTTGTTATGCGTGCTTTGATCTACGTTTTTGTTATGGCAGTGAAGCAAAACAATAGTGATTAATTTGTTTTCAATTTTTTTATGAAAATTGTGGTCTATACGCCAAACAGTGGCATATGGAGCAAAACAATATTTATTTAGTCTTAAAATTGTGGATATAGACCAAATTTAACACCCGATATCTCGGAAATCGTATCAAATATTGAAAAATGGGTTTCGAAATCGGAAAGAGGATGTCCAAATTATATACAATCCACTCCTAATATTTTTAAAAATGGTCGGTGGGTCTAACCAATAATATACTGACGATCTATATATATATAAAAATCAATGTATGTTTGTTTATTTGTTTGTTTGTTTGTTTGCTTGTACCTTATAGGAGGCTAAACCACTGAAGCGATCTTCTTGAATTTTTCAGTGTATGTTCCCCTACATCTGGAAGGAATTATAGGCTACTTTTTATTTTGAAATTGCAAGTGTCACTTCTTCAAAAGTCGAATATCTCGGAACATGGTACAACAGTCCTCAAATTTTTTATGGACAATTTTTACATCTAAATGATTATTTGGTGGAAAAATTGGAGGACTAGCAATAGGGGGCGAAGCACCCCCATCTATATATATAAAAATCAATGTATGTTAGTATGTATGTATGTTTGTTTGTTTGAACTTTATAGACAGTTAAACGGCTGAACCGATTTTTCTGAAATTTTCACAGTCTCTGCCTGTATGTTTCAAAGGAACTATAGGCTACTTTTTACTTCAAGATTTTAACTGGGCGACGTGCCACGCCCACATACAAAATAAGTCTTAAAAGTCGCATATCTCAGAAACAGCAAAAGCTACAGTCCTCAAATTTTGTATGCAAAACTTTGACATCCATATGAACATATGAGAATAAATTTTTTTCGGAGGAACTTTAGTATCAAATTGAATGTTTAGGACAAGAAATGGGCGGACTAGCAAAAGGGGGCGTGGTGCCTCCCAAATGAGTTATATATTAAAATTCGTTGATCTGGGAAACTATTGGAGATAGAATATTAGTCTTAATTTTTCACAAAGATCTTTAACATCCACGTGAACATTTATGAGAAAAAAAGACTTTTATAAGGGGGTTTTGGTACCTCCTATACGGATCTATATGTGATTTTACTGAAATTTTCTTAGTGTCTTCCTGTACGTCTGGAAGGAACTATATGCTACTTTTTACTTCAAAATTTCAAGTGGGCGACGTGCCACGCCCATTTACAAAATAAGTAAGAGTCGCTTAATTCAGAAACTCAAATTTTGTATGGACAACTTTAACATCTATATGAATACATGGCAATAAATAAAGCAGCGTAGCTACAGTGAGCGTGGTACCTCCCATATAAAGAAAATCTTAAATTAATATATCTGAGAAAATATAACAGCTAGAGTCCTCATTTTTTCGGAGGAACTTTAGTATCAAAATGAATTTTTAGGACAAAAATGGGCGGAATAGCAACTTTTAGGCAGTCTTGGTACCTCCCATATGAATTAAGTACAAAAATTCGTGTATCTGGAAAGCTATTAGAGCTAGAATCCTCAATTTTGCACGAAGAACTCTGACATTCAATAGGGGCTTGGCACCTTCCATATAAATTAAATGCAAAAATTCGTATATCTGTGAAACTGTAAGTGCTAGGATTTTCAAAAAGTTTTTTGTACCCTCTATCACCACTGATGGTGATATAAGTTTGTCATTCCGTTTGTAACACCAAGAAATATTCATCTGAGACCCAACAAAGTATATATATTCCGGGTCCTTATGAAATTCCGAGTCGATTTAGATATGTCCTTCTATCGGTCCATCTGTCTGCGTAAAACACGCTCACGTAAAAACGATTCTAAATAAATTAATGAAATTCGGCCAAAAGATTCACTATTTTCCTAGACAGTTTGGTACTGAAAATAAGAAAAATCGGTTTACATCGGAAAGAGTTATGAATCAAAATTTAAAAAACTTCAAAAAAATTAGATTTTTTAACAAATTCTAATACAATTTTCACAAAAACTATGCGATATAATTTCATAAAAATCAGCACACAATTGTTTCCATATGAAAGGTTGATTCCTGTTAAAAATGGGCGGAATCGGTCCACATTTTCATATACCTCCCATACAAATGTACATATTCCCGGAAAATGCATTAATTGTTAATAACTTCCGGTAGAATGACAATATCTTTACAAACTTTTACAAGTAAAAGTTTTAATAGCCAACATTTGGATAGTGACGAACAAATATTAATAAAATTTTCCTAAACAAAAAATGTATTTCAATATATTTTGAATATTTTTTATTTTATATCGACAGGGGTAGCAAAGCACGCCAGGTTTTAGCTAGTTATAAATAAAAGCATAAAAAACAACAGCAATGAGATAAAGCAGTTCATTTTTGGTAATACAGCTTTTAACTCTTCTAAAAGAGCCTTTTCTCAGCACTTCTTTTGATCAGTTCCGACTAATTTTTGAATCTTTTTTGAGTAATTTTTGAGTCGAATTACTGGTCATTTTAGAATCTTTTTCGATTCATATTTTAGTAATTTTTGAGTCTTTTCTGTGTCTATTACAAACAAATACAATAACAATGAAAACAGTTTTTGATCTTCATATTTCGAACACCTGGATAATCTCTTTATGATTGCTGTAGAGCTTTAAAAAGCTTTGGATAGACAAAAAAAGGGGAACAAACAATTAAGGGAATTATATATATGATGCTTTAGTATCTCTAAAAAATCGACATAACTTAGTTTTGCATAAGTCTAAAAGTTAGTGCCAAGTTTTGCAATGATCGGGCTCATTTGACACTAGCCCCCATACAAAGTCCCCTTCAGAAATGGACTTGAAAGTCAATAATTCATTTATAAACGATAAAATTCTGCATAAATAACTTTAATGTAAATGTAAGTCCCTCTACCAACATTTATAAGGATAGGGCCTTTGCCCGAGAAACCCCTCTTTTAAAAAATATCTTTTGTTTGTCAACAAATTGTTTAAATATTTCGAAATTAAGGCCAAAAACAACTTGAATGCTTTATTATTAAAAATAGTCTCCATTTTTTACATACTACTCACTGGTGTATGATATCATATGGTCGACCATGCCCTACTATACATTTTTACATGTTTATACACTATTTTCATTTTTTGAACGATATATAAAATTCTGTAGGACTCACTAATAATATCCCGTGTCTGGCACAGCTTCTTCTTTTATAATTAAACCGAATTGGCTTCTTCCTGCTGGATGCCTTGTCTAAGTTTGAACGGATTATGCTAGCATTCGTTGGAGTTTCAAGCCGTGCAACCTACAAAGGAAAATAGAAACATTTGTATATAATTTAGAGAGATAAAAATATATCATATGATGTCACTAGTGTTTATATATATTTTTGTTTTTTTTGTTTGGAAATTTTGTTTTTTTTAATAAAATTCATGCACAAACCTGTTTATATTTTAAAATTTAATTTAATTTTCATTTTCTCAGTTGGTCTTTGGAAATCAAATAAACAACATCTGCATATGTTATGATTATTGTTTAAATTTCTTTAAACTTTGTTAATACACAAAAATTAGCAAAAAATTACATAATTTTTTATGGTTTAGTTTTATAATTTTAAATAGATGTATATAATGAACTCTATTTTCGTATATAATATGTAAGTAGTATGGTTTAATTTTATTAATTTTAAAAATAATCTACAAGTTTCTATTATTTATTTATGCACCCTTAAGAAGTCATGAATAATGTAAGCTTATAAATTATTATTAAAATTAATAAAATTAAACCATAATAAACTATATATATGAAAATATTTTTCATCAGACTTTGATCAGAATCAGACTTTTGTACGAACTGTCGTACATTTTATTAGACATTTATCAGACATATATCAGACTTTATTATACTTGATCAGACTTTTGTACGAACTGTGGGACATTTTATCCAACATTTATCCGACATCTATCAGACTTATATTTGATCAGACTTTCGTACGAAATGTCTGTCGATACGAATTCGTTTCGAATTCGGCAAAAATTGTTTAGTGGGTTAATACAATTTGAGAGATATAGTTCACATAAAACGTGCCTTAGTTCCACTTTATCACGATTCAAATATTTGTAAGTCGATTATAAATGTTAAAGGTAATATGGGCTGAGGTCAAATGGTCTGATCCACATTAAATTTGATAGAGGGGTTATATAATAAACAATTTCTGACAGAGATTGTTATATCCTAACTATTTTGGACTAATCTTAACGTACTTTACAGTATGATTCTTGGCCAATAAAGGAGGCTTATATTCAATTTGTACACGATCGTTTCATAGTAAACGTACTTTCCAGCAACCAAATATTTTCCAGGAGTTTTGATGTAATTATGAACCGATATTAGCCATTTTCAACAAGGTTTGTGTTTAGGATAAATAAAACATATGTATGTACCAAATTCAGAGTAATTATATCATTAATAGCTTTCAAGCTATAAATACTAAACCGTTGTTAGGCCCATTTGATTTAGAAAAGTCGAATTTTAAAGGGCGTATCCCACACAACTTACAGAAACAGCTGAAAAAATATTTTGTCGTAAAAAAATAAATGTATCATTGTTGTTAGATACTATTGTGACAAAATCATTTTTATAATCACTATAGTTTTCGTTTTATTCAGTTTTTTATTTCTCCTGTAAAATTTTGAAAAGTGTGGTTACGCCCTTTTGCATATCAGGTGATGATATATTGTGACAAGCGGCATTCTGAACAAATAATATTCCTTTGCGCCTTTTTAGATAGAGGGTATATATAACTTTGTCACTCCGTGTCTAACACCAAGAGATATTCATCTGTATGTGTAAAACACGCTCACGATAAAGGGAAGCAATAGAATTTAATCAAATTCAACCAAAATGTTCTTCATTTTCCTAAGTTGTTTGGAAAATCAGCAAAATCGGTTCATATCGGGAAAAATTATGAATCAAAATTTAAAACAACTCCGAAAAAAAACATTTTTTACACATTCGGATGTAATTTTCCGGAAAACTATGCAATATAATTATATGAAAATCATCATACATTCGTTTCTACACGGGAGCTTGATTCCCGTTGAAAATTGAATCGGTCCACAATTTCAAATACCTCCCATACAAAAGTACATGTTCCCGGAAAATGAGTTTATTGTTAATAACTTCAGTCACAAAATTTTACATATTTAAATATTATGTCAATAGAATTCATTAAAAAAAAAAAATAGGATTGGTCCATAATTGGTCATAGCTCCCATACAAGGTCCCCTCCCGAAAATCACTTAAACGCAAATAACTCATAACTAAATTAAGATATCCATATAAAATTTGGTACAAGTATTGCTCTTATATACAGAAATATTACTGTGAAATTTTTATCCGATCGGTCCATAATTAGTCATAGCTCCCATACAAGGTCCCCTTCCGAAAAAAACACATAAATTCACATAACTCATTACCTAATAGTGATATCCATAAAAAATTTTGCGTAAATACTATTTTTGTACACCATTTTAAAATTTTTTCACGATCGGTCCATATTTGATCATAGCTGGTTTGATCATACAAGATTCCCTCCCGAAATTACCTTATAAAATTATTTCACAATCGGTCCATATTTGGTCATAGCTCCCATACAAGGTCCCCTCCAGAAAATCACTTAAATGCACAATATTCATTACCAAATAAAGATAAATACAGAATTTAGCCAAAATGTTGTATTTATGCACACTACTTATTACCAAATAAAGCTCTTAATACAAAATTTGGCACAAATATTAGTTTTGTATACAAAAATTCTATTTGAAGATTTTTTCACGATCGGTTTATAATATGAGTGCGGTCGGTCCCATACAAGGTTCCCTTCCGAAAATCACTTAAACACACATTAGTTATTACTAAATTACGATATAGATACACAATTTTACTGAAATATAGCTTTTATGTACAAAAATGTTAGTTAAATAATTTATTACGATCGGTCTATAATTGGTCATATCTCCCACACTAGATCCTGCCCCGAAAATCACTAAATACACCTAAATACGGTTAATTTAACTAGTATATGTATATTTTGAATTACCTTAAATATTTCACACATGCATACATGCAAATTGCTAAATATCGCTAAAGCCTATCTTAGGGCGCTATAAAAATATAAAAGAAAATGGCATTTGTAATGTTCAATAAATCTTGCTATTGCAACAGATTTAAGATGTTTAAATCTTGGGGAGAGTGAAAACATGTTTTTACAAATATTTAATCATTTAAAAAAGTATTTAAGATTCGGCTCAGCCGAATATAGCACTCTAATTTGTTTTGTATGTGTTCACATAAAAATACATCCCTGATCTAATGCGCCTTGCTTGTTTTTTGAATCATTTCAAAAAATGAAGAGAGCCATACGACTGTCAAATTTTCCATCCGTATTTTCTCTCACTGTGTGATGATTTCGTTACATATTGCGTTTAGACGATCCCATCCGTTTTCTTCTATACAAAATTTTGACAGATCATATTACTTGTGTGCTCGTGGGAAGGGGGCTTAAGAGGTTGTTGTGTTGTGTTTTTATTCCCTACACTACCATAGTGGGAAGGGTATTATACGTTTGCGCTTATGTTTGTAACGCACAAAAATATTGGTCCTACACCCACCTTAAAGTGTACCGATCGACTCAGTATCACTTTCTGAGTTGATTATGCCATGTCCGTCAGTCCGGCTGGCTGGTTGGCTGTCCATGTAAACCTTGTGCGCCCGGTACGGGTCGCAATTTTCAAGATATTTTGATGAAATTTGGACCATACGTGTTTTTCCCAATGACGAAGCCTATTGAAAATGGTTGAAATCGGTCCATTATTTCACCTAGCCCCCATACAACCCTAACCCCGAAATGGGCTTTTAAGCTCATAATTATGTTAAATATTGTAGTATCTCTACTAAAATCGGCAAAACTTAGTTCTATATACGTCTTAATAATACTACCGATTTCCGTAATTATCGGATTTTATTTGACCCTAGCCACCATACAAAGTCCCCTTCAGAAAATTACTTGAAAATATTCACAAAATTTTATCGGGCTTGATCCATATTTGCCTCTAGCCCCCATATAAAGCCTCTTTCAGAAAATTTGTTTTTCATCCATAAAAAGTTTAAATGTATCGGAACAAGGTAATATTGAAGATAAATGCTTTATTATGAAAAATAAATCACATTTGATATTCATAACTGGTGTAGTGTATAATATGGTCGGTCACGCCCGACTATACTTTCATACATGTTTTATTTCTAATTCTATTTATAGTGACTCTGGATCATTTATTTAAGATTTAAATTGCAGTAAAGTCAACATTTCGACATTTTTTACGGTTTTGCAATTGACATTTTTGTTTTACAATTAGCAAAATATTTTACCTTGTTTTTGAAAGTGAATTCCTAATTTATAAGCCAATTATAAGGGTAACGCAATTAAATGAACTCATTTAAACGGGAATTTTATTGTATATCTTATATGGGATTTATTTATTGAACCAATTAAGCGGGTAAATCAATAATGCGGGGAACAATTAAGCAGAAAGTATATAGAAGATAATAATAATGTTACTGTATAATTAATTTGCAATAAGTTTTTTCTTATATTCGTTATATATCTATTAAATCGCATGTAAATTATTAATTCATGTAATTTCAAATTCGATTTATAATTTTATGGCCTTTTAACTCAATGTAGTATCAATTTGGTCAATCAGGCTCAAATTCAAGGAATTTAAAAAGAGTGCCAAAAATGAAAAAAGTTAGTTTTTTTAATTTTTTTCAGTAAAATGGATTATTTTTAGTTTTAGTATGATTATTCATCAAAGAAAAAGATAAAACAATAATTATTTCAAACTTTTTTCAAAAAAGTTGTAAAATGTCCAAAATTTATCAAAACCTAAATTCGGATTTTAAGCTGAATTTTTTTCTTCATATATTAAAAAGAGGATTTATTTTTTAATTACTGAATACTACATAACAGATGCTCCATTTGCATTTAATTTTAAGAAAATATCACTTTCCGTTTTAAAGCTACAGCGAAAATTCGGAATCAATTTCCGAAAATTAACAATGCATATAGTTAGTTTGAAATGCCAAACATGTTTCGATTCTGTTGGATTGTTCTTCACTAAAAATACATATTTCTTTGCTACAAAAAAATAATAAAATTTTGTTCTTACCAGATTTTCCACATTTGGAATACTCTTTTTAATATCTTCGTCATCAATCAATTTTAGGTTTTGGTGGTCTACATTAAAATCTTGAGATTTAAATTGTTTTGATTTCAATATTTTGCTATCTTCAGCTTTTCCAAATAATCCTCTTTTTTCGGCAGTTTGTATAAGATATTTTGCATTTAACCGAGTTATGCTTTTTCGCTGCAACAGGGAAAGAAAGCAACCGTTATCTTGAGTTTGAAGACAATTATCTTGATTTTTGCAAAGATCAGGTAAATCAATAAATACAAATTCATCAATTTCGGGCAGTTTAACTTCCTCATCATCATCAGGGCATCCAATATTTTGTTGGTCCATTGTTAGCATTGCAGAATCAGGCTTAGTATTTGGATGGGGTTTATTTTCAAGTGTATTTTTTTGCTTTCTCGGCGAATTTGTGTTCATTGCAGCCGATGGTATATTTGCAGCTTCTGCTTCTTCTAATGCTTCTAATCGCTTTTTTTCTAAAAAAGCATCACGATGTTTTTTCAATGCTGTCTTATTAATCATGTTGATAGTTTGTTCTACCATCTTTTGATTTTCACTGCTTACGACAGAATGAGTTTGATAAAGGAGAAATTGAATTTGAGGGCGAGACATTGCCATGCGTAAAGTAAGAAGTTGTTCCTCCAATATTAAAGAAACGCGCTGTTTTCCATCATCGCTTATAGAAGATTCTGTCAATATTTCCAACATTCCCAAATCCCCTCCTCGAGAGCATATTAAATCGATTGGATCTGATATTGCACTAAATGAGTTTGGAGGATTTGCAAAGATACCGACTACAGTTCGAAATCGGTTAGACTCTAAAGGAAATGATGTAAAAGATTCTGCAAATAGCCGAATGTTATTTACACCCAGATCTTCCATATATTTTCTAAATCGTTTAAGATTTGATCCGGAGCCGTAAACATAAAAATTATTAATTCGATTAACTGAATAAAACAGTGATGCTAAATACGCAGTTGATCGAGGTGAATCTATATGTGTTTGTAAGATATCGCCGTTCAGATCAAAAAAGCTAAGCAATCTGGCCATTACTGCAGGTCCTAACGAAAAAGTACGATCCTAAAAAGAATAAAATTATAGTTATAAAAAAATACATACATATGTATCAGAAAGCAATTTTTGCAAACGTGAAATAAATTGGACCTAGTATACATACATATGTATTTTATTAAATTAATTTTTTCCATGTTGTAAAAAGAAATGAAAGCATATTTCGCATTGAATGTTGGAATGTATATTTAATTTTTTGGAAAAATGCACACTATTGATAAAAATTACACAGGCCAACGAAATGAAGGTTTTTGAAAACTTTTAAAACCAATTGGACTATTTTTAATGTATTTTTGGCTGCTGAAACAGAATCTGATATCTGTTTTTTCTATCAACCACCATTTTTCGCAAAATGTCATTGAATATTTTGTTCATATATTACGAACATTTTATATAATTATAAAAATATAATTACGTTTAAGGATTAATTTGAATTTTTTCGATGTCATCATAAATACGGGTCTTCATTATATATTTATACTAAGTTTCATTTAAATCGGTTGAAAACTGAATAATATTTCACTATGGTTTCTTGAGGATTTCCCAATATTGCATAGCTTGAGTTTGACCTTCACAGTTTATGGGTTAACATTATTTGATTTTACTAAATAAAACCTTAGATGTATATTTCCTATTATCTTGAATTTTATATTCTTTAAACGTTTTATATAAAATGGATAACAAAAAAGCATAAAGCCAGTTTTTCAAAAAATTTTACCAAAGATAGTTTTTTTCGAAATCCTCAAAATCCGAATCCCAGGTACCGCTAATAGTGAGAGATATCGACCAATTGACAGAATTGACAATTTTTGCAAAAACCATTTTCCACTTCATAGCCGTGGCGCTACCAGTTAACGTAGTCCTGTCGTCCTATCCTAGGCGATACGACTTTTTTATGTCCATATTCGTAATCAGCACACCAAATAATACTAGGATTAGTGAAAATTATTTAAAAAGTTTTTTCATCGTTGGCCTGTGTTATTATTTAATGCACACAATAGTTAGCCTTAAAAACCAATTGTGATCTATATATATAAAAATCAATGTATGTTTGTTTATTTGTTTGTTTGTAACTTATAGGAGGCTAAACCACTGAAGCGATCTTCTTGAAATTTTCAGTGTATGTTCCCCTATATCTGGAAGCTACTTTTTATTTTTAAATTGCAAGTGGGAGGGGAGACACGCCCACTTTTTCAAATTTTTTATGGACAATTTTGACATCCACGCCCACATAAAAAATTAGTATTAAAAGAAAAGAAGAAACTGCAAGAGTTGGAGTCATCAAATGTTGTATGGGCAACTTTCACACCCATAAGAATATTTTTGGACAAAATGGGCGGAATGCCTATAGTGGGCGTGGCACCTTCCATATGAAGAAATTATTAAATCAGTATATCTGCGGGCTAGCATTAGGGAGCGTGGCACCTCCCATATGAATAAAATATACAAAAATTCGTTTATCTGGGAAACTAATAGATCTAGCTTCTTAAAATTTAGCTTTAACTTTAATATTCATATAAATATTTTGGGGAAAAAGGGCGGACTTTCATCAGTGGGGCTTGGAACGCCCCATATGAATTAAATAGGTAAATTCGTACATATATCTGAGAAACTATTAGAGCTAAAATAGAGCTAAATTTTGCAATAACAACTTTGACATCCATTTGGGTAATAATTTGCATTGTCGTTTGTCTGGGAAACTAATAGACCTAAAATATTAAAATTTTGCACGAAGAAATATAACATTTATTTGAACATTTTGAGGAAAATGGGCGGACTTTTATTAGGTGGGGGGAGGGTGATTTTGGAACTTCCCATATGAACTAAATAGAATTAAATGTCTGGGAAACTATTAGGTAGAGCAAAAATACTTTGACATCAATGTGAACATTTTGGTAATAAATTGGCGGACTAGCAAATTGGAACCTCCCATATGAATTAAATGCAACAATTTTACATGAAAAACTTTGACATTCATGTGAACATTTAGAAAAACCCCATTAAAGATTTTGAAGATTCCATTTAATTTTGATTTTGAAGATTCTAACTACAATAGATTTCCAAATTTATAATATGTTACATATGTCATGCAAGTTATTGCAAGTTTGCCAGTTTCTATCTATCGCCAATTTCTATCTATCTATGAAAAATTTTAATAATATAAGTGTTTCCAAGATACACGAAATATTGTATTTAATTAATATATGTTGTGCCAAGATACCCATCGAAAGTCCGTCCGTTATGCTCTGATTCATTTGGAGGCTTCAAGCTTCCCAGATGAAAGTCCGCTTTTTGTTCTTCCAAAATGTTCAGATGAATATTTAAGTTCATCCTGCAAAATTTGTAGAAATAAATTTTTGTATTTAATTAATATGGGAGGTGCCGCTCCCCTCATGGATAGTCTACCAATTTATTACCCAAAATGTTGAAATGGATGTAAAATTTTTGTATTTCATTTATACACGCCACACCACAGTGGGGCAGAATGGAAATTTTTTGGAAATAAATCTGGCATTTCTAAACGGCTGATCCGATCGGGATAAAATTTGGCGTGAGCGTAGCCAAGGAGTATTCGAGTTTAAGTTTTGAAGATGAACCCTGCAGATGCCCCAGGGACGGCGCTGTGGCGGCTCAAAGTAGGGTACCTACGACATGTAAAATTTTTAAACTCGTGCCATTTTTTTGTTTTTCACCCAAATACAAAGATTTTTATATTTTGTGAAAGCGCTCGACGAGATCTTGAAAAAACATGCTACATACTACTTATCTCTTATAATATCCGAGTTATAGGCATTTAAAAATTTAGTGATACAAAATTTACCATACCTTGGTCCGCCTTTTTTTGAATACCGGGCGTAATTTTGGACCAAATGGACTCAATTTTGTTTGTTAGTTAGACAACAAAATTTCCAATAATATACAAAAAATTTCAGATCAATATCGTTTACAGATCCAAAAATATACGTTTTTTAATTTAAAAATTCAAAAAATTTTAGATTTTTGGCGTTTTTTTGCCAAAAATGTGTCTTAACTCTTTTATTAATAAAATAAATTTTTTATTAAGAACATATAACAATTTTATAGTTTTCTAAAAGGTATCTTTACGCAGAACGCTTTGGCGTAAAAAACTTGTCCTATTTTTTGAAAATGTTGCCACTGCATCCTTCCGAATATGACCTATTTTTTATCAAAACTTCAACTTTGGGCGACATGTTCTAAAATCCCAAAGCTGGGATCAGAAACCTCAATATGTTTTCTATTTACTCCAAAAGTATTTTCCCAGCCCTGAAAGAAATGTGGACCCTATGGGCAAAAAAGTAAAAAATCCCATTTTTGGGATTTTCATTCCTATTTTTGGGAATTGCGGGATGCCCTTTGACCTTTTCAATTTTTTTTTGTATATTCTTATTTGAAATGGGAATGAATTTAACAAGCGTTGAAAATTTCATTGAGTTTTGTTCATAAATAAAGATTTTGTCATATATTACATATTTGTTTAATTTCTAAAACTATGATTTATATCAAAATTTTAATAGGATCGCAGATAGCTACAACAATTTAGTCCATATTTATCCCTTAATATCATTTTTTAGTTAGATATGGAAATTCTCTAAAACTATGATTTATATCAAAATTTTAATAGGATCGCAGATAGCTACAACAATTTAGTCCATATTTATCCCTTAATATCATTTTTTAGTTAGATATGGAAATTCTCGACCCTTTACAAAAAATTTCAAGCCAATATCTCAATTACATTCAAAAATATGTTCATTTAAACCTGTGTCCTTTAATTTCATCTTTTTCATATTTTAGTATTAAGTATGACAGAACATACATTTGGTGTTGAATAAAATATTTGGACAATTTTTAAAAATTATTTAGTTAATTATTTTATTATAATATTGTATATTAAATAAAAAAAATTATAATTTTATTATGAGCCACGCACAACAACACCTAAATCACCCCACACAAATTACCTTTCCCGCCCACCGAAATATAAAACACAATTTAATACAATATCATCAGTTAGTATAATAGCTTTTTTTATTTGAACTGTTTATCTTAAACATAATACAATTAATTCTTACAACCTACTTATATAGTTAATTCCTAACACTACTTATTTTCTATAAAATAATCTGTCATATCGGTATACATATCCAGAAGGTAATATAAGTCCTTTAAATCTTCCTCGTTTTGAGATGATAGAGTTTCATAACAAATCCATCTTTTTCGCATAGTTGAAAGAACAGGATCAGAAGATAGAAGTAAACTATTAAAAATATCTTCATTCTGTGATTGCCTGGAGCATTTTCTTGAGCTGAATAGTTGAACATGCTTAAAATCTCGATTCCTCGCTTCCTGGGCTTCTTCTGTTAACTCTCCAAGTGGAAGAATATTCGATTCAATTATTATTTGACCATGACACAATACTTTGTGTACTGTTGGTGTTAGTTCCCTCCATGGATACAGAGATACAAGTAATTTAGTAATTTCAGATGTGTATTCCCCAAATTGATTTTCATTAATTTTATGTTTACTATTCAGTGCCATTAAAATAGTTTTAACTCTTCGAAGCAACTCCTTGTCGATTCCAGTTATTTTTGAAGTTATTTCAAAATCACGAAAAAACCTTCTCGACGTATTACCGTCATTTGTACTACCGCAACTTGAAAGTGGTTTGTCGATGTTTAATCCCATCTGAACTTTAAATTCTTCTTGGATTCTGCTTTTTTCCGCAGCTCTCAGTTCTTTCAATTCTTCATTATTTTTTGTTGATTTAGTAGGATAGTTTGTTTTTTTTTTCCTGGATCGCCTTGTATGATGGTAATATATTGTGTCCTTTTTCATGCAGAGCTTTTCTTAATATTTGGTACTTATTTCGACTGAGACCCAGTTCCAACATAAGCGCTATTGCTTCCTCTTCAGTAAAATTTGATTATGATGTTGGAGTTGGTATACTTTCCACAATTCGCTTAAGTCGTTTTGGTGATGCATTAGGA